CAGACGGGGCTAACGCCGTGCTCGGGGCCGTGCAGCCCAGAGCTGGGGCCTGGCTGGCCCTGATGCTCAGCCGGCACCCACAGCAGGAGACGGCGGTCCCCGTGAGGCTGGCGGGAGGTGGGGAGCGCCCCGACATTTCACTAACGCGCAGACGGAGCCCCCGAAGGTCGAGTTACACATCAAAGGCTGCCGGGGCCGTGGCCGGCAGAGGCGGAACTCAGTTCTGTCTGATGCCAGTGTCTTCTGCAAACTTCCTCTCAGGGTTCTAGAAAGCCCGGTGTCGTCCTCATTCTGAGCCACCTGCTTCTGCCTCCCATGGGCAAAAGAGAGGACCTCTGAATGGCAGTTGGCAGCAGGCAGTGGTCAACCATGATCAGCCCTGGGCGCGCTGAAGGCTTGGGTTCCTCAGGCCTCAGTTCCCCCAGCTCCTCCATAGCCTCCGAAGGAGTAGCCTGGGGACACCTTCAAGTAATAAACTGCCTGAGCCTTCCTGCCTGGGCTCCACACGGGAAGCGCTGTTGCCTGAGCAGCCTGTCGCGGGTGGGAGCAGCGGGGCCGCAGGGAGGACTGGTGAGCCGGATGGGGACCCAGGAGCGCGTGCTGGGAGTGAAGCTTCATTCTGATCCCTGTGCCCTTCCTCTCCGCCCTCCTTTTCACTCGGGGTGGCCGGGGTTGGGGGGGTGGGAGATCTTCCCATTCTCCTCTTCAAAGAAAAGTAATTACCGGCACATACAATAATTCACACAGTGTGACCCAGTCAGAAAGGCCTTGGCTCTTGCCCCAACATTTGCACAAACTGTCTGTGATCTCTACAAGTTTCTTCTCCTCTGTGGGCTTTGGATTCCTCCCATGTAGAATGGGGATCACACAAGCCTATTGCACAGGATTGTCGCGGAGCACAAGAGCTTACCGAAATGTTTTATTAGCTCGTTAGAGCGCAGTGTGCCCGCCCTCCCCTGCAACTGCGCCAGGGCGACGCTTGACAGAAAAGAAGCCTCCGCGGGGCATTCCAACAGCGGCAGAAGCTGCCGAGGCAGCCGGGCAGGCGGGCCGCCTCCGAGCTTCTCCTAAGCCGCACCCTGGAGCACCCCCGGCTCATTTTCGGGGTCAGACTACACCGCCAGCCCCTCCAGATTTTGCCTCCCTGCACACATGGCTTACAACGCCCCACTCTCCCCGCTCCATTTGAGGGTGGGGGGCAGGGCCAGGAGCTTCACCTCCAGGTGTCCCAGGCCAAGACCAGTCAGGGCCCTGTAGCTCCCCGCGTAAGGCAGGCCTGGCTCCAGCTGGAGGTCAGAAGTGCGAGGCTGCAGCATCTGTGGAGGCAAGAGCATGCAGTGGCGGCCCAGGGTCCGCGCCCCAGAGACGGGCGGCCTTCCAGGGAGCGCTGCCCCCCCGCCCCGCCGCCCCATCCACCAGCCGTCGCCCTGTTCTCTTGATGGACCCTCATGGCCTCGCAGGGAGCAGGCATCACCCCTGCCTTTCACACGTGAGGAAACCAAGCCTCCAAAAGGTCAGGGAATTCACCCCAAAATGTCTAGCTAATAATTAATAGAGGAGCATCAAACCCAGGGCCTGGATCCCCTGCTCCTTCCACTCTCAGAGGCTTCTCTGATCTTCCAGAAAGTTCCTCAGACATTGTTCAAGCACGCCCCCCTCCTCTGTGTCTCATTCCCCTTGTTGAAAAGGGTCAGTCCTCTGGTCCGTGCGATGCCCCACCCACACCCTGTCCCCTGGTTGCTGCCTGTGCAGGGCTTGCAGAGTGCGCCACGGGCTCCTTGGAGCACACTGGCCTATCTTGTATTTCACCCGCAAACGGGCTGTGCAGACAGAGCTATGCCTCACTTAAGACAGAAACACATCCTGGAAATCTCGTGTTTAATAACAACCATCACTCCTCCACCTGGGGAGCACTTCAGAGTTTCTGAGGAACTTCTGCGTACGATACATCATCTAGTCCGAGCCTCCCTCCGGCTCTATGCGGTGGGCAGCGGTTATTAAAGCACATCCATGGCGTCCAAGCCTGCCAGTGTCGGAAGGGCCTTCAGCTGTCCCCTGACCCAGCCACCTTCCGCAGGGGCCCAGCGGATCAGTCCGCCTCCGCCTGGCCCAGTCAGCGTCCGGAAGACGGCTGGTCTCAGCCTTGGAGAGCTCGGAGGCTTGGGAACGGATCTGGGCTGAGCCCACTCTGTCTCACGTTGTATAGACTTACTGCGCTGTCTGTAGTTTGACCTTTGAGGCACGCAGACCAACACTGATAGAATCAACTCTCTCATTCAGATATTCAAAGGGGGCTCTCGCGTCTCTCCACCGTCCGCCTTGCCCAAGTCTCTCGCACACTTCAGGCTCCTTCCAACATTCCTCATACGACGTGGTGCAGAATCCCTTCGCCTGGTCAAGGTCCCTCTCAATGTACTTTCCGACACCTGTTTCGGCACAGGGACTGGAAGCTGTGTGCGAACTGTGCGTCTGCTAGTGCGTCCTCGGTTGGCCTTAGTTCAGGCCGGTTTTTCCATTTATTTGTTTGACAGATATTACCCTTTGGACATAATGAACCTGCTGTCAACACAAACACTGCTGCTAAACCGGGCCTCCCCTGTTCTGCACTTACACGATTGATTTTTCTTCTTGACCGAAGTGTTAGAAGTGTTAAGTTCTGACTTATTAGATGAGAACGAATCTTATTAGACTCAGCATGTTGCCAACATCTGTAAAGATCTTTTGGATCTCAGTTCCATGTCACCCATAAATTCTTTGGGCATTTCTTCAGACAGACTCTAAAATCGCTGATAGGAATACTAAAGAAGGGGGCTGAGGAGAAAGTATATAAGCCCCTCCCAGAAGCCTCTTCCAGCTGCCAGCTACCCTTTCCTCGTCCTCCTTCAGGGGAGCTGACTAATTTGCACGGCTGTCAACCCAGGCGCGTCTCTCCGTGTTTTCCCCCAGGGTATCGTGGGAGGTGCTGTGCTGAGGTCAGTTGCGCCATCCACATCCGCTGCGTCCTCCTGATCTGCCGGCTTGGCATCCGTGCTAAGTGCAGACGCGAGCTCCCTCAGCGCAGGCACTCGACCTGGGGAGCCCGGCGCCCTGCACAGCGCCGGGTACGTGGCAGGGGCTCGAGGCACATTTGAGGGAACAATCGGCTGCACTTGTGAATGAAGGAAACGGGCCCAGATCAATGTGAACATTAGCAATATTTAGCGTTTCTGATTCCACCTCCTTTCTCTGTTTCAAAAATTGGAACGTTCGTTTCTACTTTCTTCCTTATAGCATCTCTGTAATACTTGTGGACCCTAAAAGGACACCAGTTTGCTTACTGATAAGAAAACAGGAGCTTGGGAAACTTAAGGGATTTGCCCAAAGTCAAAAGCGAATGACAGGAGACAGTGGGATTCAAGCAGGTGTCTGCCGGCGTCATGGCACCGTGGCGGGCGGGCGGCCTCCTGTGCGCCGAGTTTGGGGAGGCCCCTTAGGTCAGCCGACAGCGATGAGGGTATTTCATCCCAACAAAAAGGTGATGGGGATACAGTATCATAGAGCAGATATAGTTCTTTTATAGTGTCAATCTCATTCACTATCCATCATTCATTTATTCACTTCATTGATTCAACAAATATTTACTGAGCATCTGCTAGTGCCAGGCTATTCTGAGCCCTAGGAATACTACTGTTAGTCAAGCCCTAATTGAGCTTAAATTTTAGCTGTAGGTGGGGGAGAAAATAACTCAGCACGTAGACACATAGTACATGGTCGCGCTAGGAAATAAGGCAGAGTAACGGGGTGGCAAGGGGCAGAGGGACCCTGCTTCACTCTGAGGACGTGGCTTCTGAGCAGAGACTAAATGAGCAGAACGAGACAGCCCATATCTTGGGGATGTCAGCACCAGCAATACCGCGCTGTGTCCATGCGTGCATAATACTTTTCCTCCCAGAAAGCAGGGACCTAAATCATTTGATAAATTTTCTGGCTATAAAATATGTGATTCTTTCAAGGTGCATTCATTCACTTACTCATGCATTTTTCTAAACAAATATGAAGCATCTCCTCTGTGTCAGCTGGGCGCTTGGGGTGAAGTGTGAACAGAGCTTTAGCACGGGAGGCAGGCGAGTCCACGAGCCTCGCGGCATGGCGGGGTGAGAGCAGTCACGGCGCCGTGGACAGGCTGGAGGGCGCAGCAGCTGGGGCGCGTCACCACCATGACATCTGAGGGATCCCTCTGACTAAAGAAAATATAATGCAAAAGCATTATATTCTGTAATGATGGTTATCAAAATTTTAGAGCCATTTAACCATTTCTTTAAATACAATCTTACACAGAAAGTTCAATATATATTAAAAAAAAAGTTGCTCTGATTGTAAAATAAAATAAAATAGGGCCCTAGAGGCACCTTCTAAAACATAAAACAGGATGAAAACAACTGCTCCAAATATTTGCTATGGTTAACAACAGAAGTCTGTCCGTTGTCCATTAAAACCTGCCGATCTTCAAGTGCTCGGGTAAGCCAAATTTGGAGAATTGTTCCATTTTCAGTCAAAACCATTGAAACAGTTACCTCGGGCTAGTCTTAAAGGGAATAGACCTCTGTCCAAGTGAGAACTGACTCAGCTCATTTTCCTCCTCTTCAAAGTTATCAAATCAAGCTTAACGCTGCCCAGTGCGCCCCAGATGACTCATTGGCACAGTTCACAGCGTTCATCGTTTTCGGCTTTTTTTGCTGCTGGACAGAGGCCGCCGCCTCCCTGTGCAGGAAGATTCATCCTTTCAAAGTGCTCCTGCATCACCTGGCTTTGAATGGTCCCGTATTGTTCTCTAGAACGTTCTCACTTGAAGAAAGACCTGCTTTCTCCCCACTGTAGCACACGTACACTCGCAATTCCCTTCCGCACATCTGTTCCCCACACACACGCCCCACGGGCCAAGGCGGGCCTCCCAATTCCAGCTGAGGAAGCAGCTGTCCTGGCCACGCTAACCCGCCACCCCCTCTTCCTTCTCTCTGCAGATGACGGCAACTGCCCAGACACCCTCCAAGGCCCAGGCTGTCCATATCTCCGCCCCCGCAGCTGCTGCCAGCACTCCTGTGCCCAGCGCCCCCATCGACCCCCAGGCCCAGCTGGAGGCTGACAAGCGAGCTGTGTACAGGTAGGAGATGCGTCAGCTGTGTTGAGAAGCCCTGACCAGCCTCAGGCCCGAGCTGTGAGAGATGAGCTGGCAAGCCAGTGGGGGGGCTCATCAAAGACAATGGCCAACAGCTGCTCTCCTCGCGGCCTTCCCTCTCAAATCAATCCAGAGACCTCTCAGCTGGCCACTGTGGGTTGACGCTAGCTTTCTGGAATTGTCTACGAGAGCCTGAGCACTATCTTCCGGGAGGAGCCCTTCTTCATCCCGGCTGGGGAGATGAGCCCTAATGAGCCGGAAGCCCTCAGCTCAGCAAACAGCAGCTGCCTGGGGACCCCTGCCTTGCCTCCTTGTCTTTTTGTTGCCTTTATTCCAACAAGAGCACTGAACGTCTATCGCACCCTCTAGGACTTGGTATCATGCAGGCTTTAGTATGCCTGCAAATCATGGGCAGAGCTTGTTAAAACGCATGTTTGGGGCTCCCTGCTCTGAAACGCTGAACCAGTAGGTCAAGCTCTAGGAAGAGGAATAGGAACTCGCAAGAGCAATCCTGGTGACGCTCATGCAGCTGTTCCTTGAACCACATTTTGATTCATGGTAATCTCTGGTTTTTAGCAACAGGTGTTGTGTGCAGCTGTGTAGGTTCTGGCACCTTCCCCAAATGGGCAGTTTGCTGACAGCAGGAACTCATTTCGTCTTGCCCCGTCCTGGCCCGTGCACTCAGCACGGGGCCCTGGACGGCTCAGAGCGGGGGAGGTGCTCAGGGAAAGGCCTGTTGAGGTCGGTGGCTGGGAAGAGCTGGAGTCACCTGAGAGCGGGCCTGAGGGAGGCTCCAGCAGGGGCTGAGCTCTCACTTGTCCACGGGAGCACACACCACTAGGGGAAGCGCTTGGGTCACAGCCTGTCCTGAGGCTGGAGCCTGGCTCACGCTCGCCGTGCGAGCGTAGACATACATGCGGACCGGCAAGCTCAGCCTACCTGCAGCTGTGCACCCGCTGCAGCAGGTGCTAATGGCTGCAGCGCGTGCAATGGGCCACCCTGGGTAGATAGGAAGGAGATTGATTCCTTCCTCCTCGCTCCCCCCACCCCAAATGACAGCGCCTTTATGGTGATGGTGGTGATTATTGCTGTCATTATCATTATCATCGGCATTATTTTTAGTTACTCAGGTGAGCTGAATGCCTCTAATGGCAACAGTTGGGAGTCCAGAACAGTGGGTTCTAATCCATAGATCCCGGCCCAAGGGTCCTTGCCAGGCCTGGAGGAAAAATAAATCACAGTACTCCCCGCCCCAGGGCACAGGCCTGGCCTAGCTGCCCCCAGGTACTACGCATGCTCTGTCTTGGACGCCAAAGAACACCACGATCCGGTCATAGTTCCTGTCAGAGAGGCTCTGGGGGGGGCAGGGGGGTAAGCCAGGGCCCCTGTTAGGGGACTGGGCACACCTGTCACCTCTCCCCTCCTTTCACGCCCTTTCATTGAACACTTGCTATTAACATGTGGGGGCACCATGCTGGACTGCAGGGAAAAGAGGGGAAACCTAAAACGACAACTGCACGGCTTGTCCTCCGTCTCTCCAGAAAGAGCTCGACAGAGAAGGCGTCACAGAGGAGGCAGCAGGCGAGCTCGATCCTAACAGCTAGTGAGGGGGTTCAGCAAGAGGAGCAGTGGTGCCGTGGGACCTTGCAGGCAGCGGAGAACCTGGCGTGCTCCGGGCGGGGCCAGGAGCCAGAGCCAGGAGCCAGAGCAGCTGGGTGTGGGGAGAGGAGGCTGCAGAGCCGCCTTTACGTTAACCTGTGTGGTGGGCTGGTGCTTCTGTGGGCGGTGTCAGCAGGGGAAGGAAAATGCCATAGCCTCTGGAAACTGTCTGATGGTCTGATGACTTGGGGGTACAGCCCTGATACCCCGCTTAGATCATGCTCCCTGAAGGACGGTCCATATGAGCAAGCCTGGCGCGCTTGGGAGCTAATTAGAAATGCAGAATCTCGGATCCCACTCTGGCCTAAGGGTTCGTGATCTGCCTGTAACAAGATCCCAGGCCATTCATATGCACGCTAAAGCCCTATCCTGCCCAGGCTCCTGGATGCAGCCACCTGCAGCGGCACAGTCCCGAGTCTGGAGAGACCCCCAGATTAGGGCTGTGCTAGTGCCTGCACTTTATTTTCATAACAGAGCCTCGCCAGCCGGTTCAGGATACAGCCCATGTGCGTGCCTGGCACCACGTCTGGCACAGGCCCTAGAGGTCCCCTTGTTCCCAGCAGCTCCTTGGGCTCCGTAGCCCTTCCTGGGATCCCAGGCTCCTCCCCGCCCAGGCCACACTGCAGGGGAGACGGGGCCCCCGTGGGAAGTGTCCATGAGGACATCACTTCTTCCTGTTCACCTCTCCACCCAGGCTTTCCCTTCTCCCACCAGGCTGACCGCCCCCACCCCCCACAGCCCTTGGCGGTTGCCCAGCTGAACATGGCACCCAGCCTCTCCCCCCTGCAGCCCCCGCCCGCCCTGGGGTTATCTCCCCGCCATACCTCTCCCATTAGCACCAGCTGCCCCCGCCACAGCCCTTGCGAGATGACTGGGGGGAGCTCTGCCCTCTGTCGGGTAATTTTAATTAGGTTTGCCTGCCTGGGGCAGCCTGGCTGCTCCAAAGCACTTTAGGGAGTTGGCATTTCATGTCAATAAACGTAACAAGACCCTTTTGAGTCAGATTAGTGCCCACGCTGACTTTTGGGAGTCCCCACCACAGCCCCTCCGAGAACCACGGATGAAGAGAGAGTAGGGGAGGCCCCTCCCTGCCCAGCCCCCTGCCCCTCTCAGGGTGGCAAGGGGCAGTGTGACAAAAGGGAGCGGTGCCTGTGCCCAAGGGAGCCTGCGGGGCTCCTGAGGTTTTATTTGTTTATGAGGATGTGTTAATGAAATGCACTGGTTCCTTCTGATGTGGACACTGTGTGTGTGTGTGTGTGTGTGTGTGTGTGTGTGCATGCGCGCACATGCACGCGCATGCAGAGGCAAAGGGGAGGACCCACCCGGCTTTAATTGGATAACACCAGAGCATCATCTGGGCTAATCAGCAAGGCAGCCAGGAGTCCTGCTCAGATTAATGACGGCAGCCTAATCTGAGGAAGTCGAGTGATTGGATGCACATCGTGGGTAATTGTGTTTGTGCCCAGGAACAATACTGGGAGGGGCTTCTGAGGAGGAGGCCCGGCGCAGTGGGGCCTGCAGCCTTGGACCAGCTCAGTTCTCTCCTTCCTCAGCCCCCACCTCAACTCTAGGATTTTCCCCCAAGAAGCTACAATGTAGCCTGAGCCACAGCCCCGCCCCCGCCCCCCCATCCCCACCCCGCTCTCTGTGCTGGTGGACCCACGCTGCTGGGACCCACGGTTAGGATTCCAGGAGCAGCACAGAGAAGGGGCAAGAGGGTGAGGCTAATCCAGCGTTCACTCTCCCTCCTCCCCTCCCACCTCCTTCCTTCCTCTTTGAAGTGAGTGGGTTCCCATGGAAACCGTGATGTCCTGGGGAGCAGGAGCAAGGCAGGGAGGTCGGCCTGGCCAGGTGCGAGGGGAGGAGGAGGTTGGCTTTGCTGAGACTGCTCTGAGGCTGATGCGGTGGTTCTCACCCCTAAAGCTGCAAACCTCTCTGAGAGCCCAGGAAGTGGCCCGTCCAGCGCGGAAGAAGTTGTTATTGATGGGAAATGCTGCGTGGCGGCCTGGCCACTGAGAAAGCAGCGGAGCTGTTGTGCTTTGCTTCTCCATTAACGGTGCTAGAGATGCGCGGCGAGTGGGGGTGGCTGGTAATGGCTGCTGCGCCTGGGATTGGCCCTTGAACAACACAGGGGGTTAGTCAAAAACCCGAGTACAGCTTTGACTCCCCCAAAACTTAACTACAGTCAGCCCTTCACAGCCACAGATTCAACCGACTGCAGGGAGAAAACAGTATTTTTGCTCCGTGGTTGAGGAACTCAAGTTGGGAATATAAAAATGCTGTTGGTATGTGGCCCGCACCCGGTTGAACTGCAGATTAAAAAAAGCCATGGATACAGAGAGCCATGTATTTATTGGGGGAAAAAATCTTTGTATAACTGGGCGGGTGCATTTCAAACTCCAGTTAAGAGTCAACTGCAGTTTTCCTCTGTGGCATTACTCACAATTGAATTGATTATGTTAACATTGTTTCCATTTCCCCCACTAGATCCTTAACTCCATGAGGTCAGGGACTCTGTCTGTGTAATTCATTGGTTTATCCCTAGCACCTTACGCAAGCCTTAGAGTCAGCAGCTTGGACGGTGTGCCAAATCAGTCCTTACCGAACCGACTTGTTAACTAGGCTGGGCAGTACCCATGTGCACACCATGGTTCTAGGTGGGCACACGGGCTCTTGGGGGACAGGGGAGAGGAGAGCCCTGATTTGTGGCATTTGCTGGTTTCCACGGTGTAGATTCCCCCACCGTGGCCCATTTCAAGCTGCCAGTGTGCTGCCGCCACACAGCCTTGTGAAAAGATGCACAGGTGGCTCTCACCAGCCTCAAGTACAAACCCCACACCGGTGGGCAAGTTACAGGTGCACGGTCTCTGTTTTTGAACAGCTCAGCGCATCTTGTAACCGAGTCTTTGGAATGGCTCTACTGTTTTTAGCCATGATCCTACATTCCTCAGTCTTCACTGGCCTGTCTGGCCTACCCCTGGGTCCTGAATTTGAGATGTTCTCTCTTCCTAAAATAATACTGAGAAGAACAGTGCCTCACACAGAGTGCGTGCTTTGCAAGAGCTTGCGATTGTGATTTCCTCCTTCTAGAACACACCTGAAACTGTCTCTTTTCATCCTTGTGAGTAAAGCCCCCACCATCACCCCCACCTTCTCCAAGTAGCTTCCCAGCCTCGCCTGCTTTATGCACGAACAGGTCCTTCCCGGCAGCCCCAGAAGCCCTGCCAGGCATGAAGCCATTCTCCTGCCTCTTTATTTTCTCAGCTTTCAGAATCCCGACCTTTCCTTCCCGCTCTTCCAGCTCTTCCTCTCTCTGCAACCGCAAA